TTTTTCAAATCACCTGCAGCATTCAATAGATATTTTGGTTGTTGATTGGGACAATATGGTTACTGAAATACTCAGTGCAAAGGAGGTCCTCGGGCATGCACATACTATATTTTTTGTTGGATTTAATTTTAAATACATGTGTATGTGTTCTACATAGTTCACTAATCGTCATGGCTGTTTTTGTAGAAGATATTTAACACCAATAATTTGTGTAAAGGAGGTTTAAATCTTTGAAGATTTTTTTTTTCCCATTGCAATCGGTCATGGGTTACAACAGTGTGTGATTTAAAAATAACTTTTTGTGTCACTGAAGGAAAATTGACAGAAAGTCAACATACATTCTATGCCTTGTGTCCGGTGTATTATTGAAAATTCAGTTATTATGAATTATTATTATTATTGAGGACTACACAGGAGGAGTTGTTGATCTTAGACTTGACTTTTACCGTGTGTATCTTTTTAACATCTACGGGCATATCACGCCAGATTAGTAATTTACTGAAAGCATATATTGTAAAGTTAATCTAGAGCAATGAAAGGACCCTTAGCAAAAACAAATGCTATATTTGCATTGATTTTTGATTTTATTTGTCTTGAAAATACATTGAACATTGGTTATGCATTTATTTTTGATTGAATCCAATTCAAAAATCTTCAGACCATTGATTTTGGAATGATTGAAATTTGATTTTTTAAATAAATGTTGTTTCAATGCATTTATTTTGCATTTATCTTGAATTTATATGATGTCATACCAATAACAAATTACACATGAATTGATCTCTTTGGTAAATCCATGATTGAATTTGTATTTATTTTCTTAAGCATTGATTCAGAAATAAATGGTAGCTTTATCAGCTGTGTATATTGCTGGTTATATTAGTGCTGACCAGCTGTAAATATATCCAGGGAGAGGCTGATAAAAATCACGTGATTACTCTACGTCACTTTATCAGCCATTTCAAATTCTGCTGGCGCTGCATCCAGACAAGCTAGAAGCCATGATGTACTTTGATGGAAATGATCAACTTTTGTTGTGTTCTTCCCTGTGGACTAAACTATTCAAATTATGGCAAAAAGTTGTGTAGAATCTAAGAATGATGAAGACAGCTAGTGTTGTTTTGTGACAGACAAGTGATATTGAAGGTGATGAAAAGATGGTGCTGTTGAAGTAGATGCCATACAAATAATGGATACATTACATGGAAGTTAGTAATTCATTTACTTGAATTTATAACTGCATGTACTGGTGAATTTTTAAGATAAGTATTCAAAATTTTGGTAAAGATACATGTGATGGATTATTAGTAATAATGTTTGCATTGAGCATGATGCTGGATATTGTTTGTTACCATATGTATTTATTCTATGTTACTTCTCAAGTTTCATAACATCACTTAAATGTTTTAATATGTATTACTTTAACATTTTTCTGTGATGTCACAATAATGCTAAGTGACATCAAATAAATGCTTCATACTGTATTTCATTTGTTTTGCATTGATTTTGCATTTTTCCGTGATGTCAGATTAATCCTTCATCTCATTTACATATTTCGCAAAAATCCAGCCATTTTCAATCAAAAGTCAATGCAAAATAAATCAAAATCCAATGTTCAATGCTATTTCAATGCTTTTTTCCCATACAATTTAGCAAGGAGGCACAGTTGATTTCTTTGCAAATCAAAAAACAATGAAAATCCAATGCTCAGAAAACAACTACAAAATAAATCAAAATTCAATCAATTTGATTTTGCTAAGGGGACCGTTCAGAGAAGCTCGCACAGCAGCTAAGGATATTTAAATTGTATTTTGGATGATATATCCATTTCTGTATCTATAAGCTGTTAAGCTATTGTCAGCTTACTGCAGATTTATAAACTTTGTAAATGGAAAAGGATTTCAATTTTGATGTCGCCAAATCCCTGCATTTGCTTCCATTACTTTCACTTTAACAGTGCAGAACGAAGAGAGATAATGAAAGTGAAGTAACTGCAAACATTAGCACTAAAGCATGCTTATCACCTTGCCTATGGAGGAAGTGGATTAGCCGCCTTAATGGATCTTTGTATAGTGCAGCAGCTTCTCTGGAGCATCTGATTTGTGTGGAGTCTGTCAGCTTTACTTTGCATCTTCAACGTGACAGAGGCAAGCAAACTGGGTTGCAGGTCATTATATATACCATAAAAGTTTGATGTGTTGCTTATTCATGGTGCAGTCAGACATGCAGTCTGATCATCACAACTTGTAATGTTTGAAAGTTACAAAGGTTGTGCACAAGGTTCTATGAAAAAGGTATGTTCCGTAAAAAACTAGAAGGACTAGATGTCAGTGGAGCTGCCGGGCCAAAACGGGGCAAAAGCTCGCTGTTCTGTTGTTGTGTTCAGAAATCACAGTCTTATTGTGACTCATTGACAACAAGTAAACAGGAATCAGGGAGCAATGGAACCACTGAGGGAACACAAGTGACCCCTGACCTCACTGAGGAATCTCAAGTGACCCTTGACCCCAAAGATGATCCAGATGGAAACCGGAAATTGACAAATGGGTCATGTAAGGCCAAGGATAAGAGCGAAGAAAGTAAGATTTGGGTCAGGAGAAATTTTAATTCTTGATATTCTATGTAGACTCAATGAAGCCAGGTTTATTGCTTGCTTAAAGTATTTTTTAAGATATGTTTGCTTTTACAAATCTAAAAACTAGGGAAAATGAAAAAATAGAGCTGTTTTACTCAAAATTTCTTTTGGGAGAGGGGTACTGTAAATCACTTTTTATTTGTGAGAACTTTATTTTCGCATAATTACGCGGGACTGTCTGCTCGCGAAAATTTCCTTCTCACATATTTTTTCATTAGTAAAGAGTATATACAACAAAACCCAGAATTCGTGAAAATTTTGACTTGCTTATAAATACATAATACCTATCTCGAGAAAATAAGTTGTCATGAAATTTTGGTGATTTACAGTATATTTTTTGAAAAATGTATTTTTTGAGATACTTTGCTTTTGAATTTGTCATTATAACATTAATGACCTAATGATAAAGGTTCAGAACTGTAATCGATACGGTAACCCAAGTTACATGTACATACAAGTTGTTTATCGGGATTCACTTTGTAAGTTTTGGATCATTAGTTTGGCCAGGAAAATGGTACGTTTTATACATATACATCAATTGTTATTCTGATCTAATTGCATTTGATATTTTGGTACAAATGTGCATATGTTTTAGATGTATAAATGTTGACTACATTGTATTTTTAAATGGCTTCATTCTTTGTGCATGTTAACAGCTGTAAGCTATTTTTCCTTCACTGAATCTATTATTTTAATGATTATTTTTTTTCTCTATAATGCACATGTTTGAGGAGTATAAACATAGTTTACTATAATGCTTGAAATCTATGTCTACCATTTAATCTGTTATATTTACTTTAAACCTACAAAAATAAGGGAACTCAAAATTTAGCTTAATCTTCCTCACCAACTGATTAGTGTTATCATAAATTAGAACATTTTGAACCAAACTGTCATGTGTTTGACTTTGGTTGTAATCAAATGTACTTGAATTGGTGGACAAGGCTCAGTTCAAAAGGTGCTAAAATATGAACACTTCTAAAATAAGAATGTTTAGAATATCTTGCAGGGATAGGGTGGGAGATCTAGAGGGAGAAAGACCCATGACCCATATTAGAGGGTCTGCAGTTCAGTTACTATGTGGAGACCACCGAACTTTTTTGAAAGGTTTTGTAGGAAACTCGCCATTGTTCAATTATTATTATATTTTGTTCAAATTATCCTATTAATTAGAAAATTTGCACATTTGTTTTATTTGTTCTTAATAAAATGTTGATAATTTTTTATGAATTTATCTCTTAATTTCCTTTCTGGAGTAAAAGTAAATGTCTCAATAATATCTGAACAGCTGTCGTATAAGTCAAAACTTTACACATGACATTGAAAATATTTTAAAGTCTTTGGATGATTGAAATTGAAGTGGCTGTTTTAAATTTATTGATACAACCAGGTTGAAACACCCCCCCCCCCCCCCCCCCAATACTTACATTTTTTTCTATTAAGGCATTGATAGAAATTTTACACTTTGTGTTCACAAATGAATTTGAGTTTCAGTTGAAAGCTATATATTATTGGATATTCTTTCATAATCTTCAGAAAAGTTTCTGTTTCTACAGATTATCCTGAATTATTGAACGGCTTGGGATATTATCAATATCATGAAGTGTTTGTTGTCGGTATTTTGCTTTGTGTGTTATGGCTCTGGAATACCTATAGAATCACTAGCTTGTTTTATACTCGCTCATATCTCTTCATGGTTGGTCAAAGATTGAATTCTTGATGAGAAATGTATGTTTCTGAGATGCTGCTGTCTGGAATGAATTATTCAGGAGGATGTTATCATCTTGGTTGATAAAATCTAAGTTATAAATCCAGACAGAATTATATAATAGTTCAATACATGTATATCCTTCATAAGGAAATGTGGAGGAAAAAAATGTCTTTCTCTGATCTTTATGAGATGAGATTTTTGTCACAGTTTGCAATGCTTAATTATTAAAGATACCCATATTATTTTTGTGTTTATTGATGATTGGAAATAAGATTTCATAGGGATTGTACACAAATGAATCATACTGACATTAAAATTTATAATTTGTTAGTAATGTATGTTTGTTTTTGTGTGATATCTTGACCTATGTCTGTTATCTTGAAGTTTGATTAATATGTTGACCCTTTCTTTTGTAGGTAATGCCTATGTCTGATATCTTGACCCTTTCTTTTGTAGGTAATGCCTATGTCCGATATCTTGATCCTTTCTTTTGTAGGTAATGCCTATGTCTGATATCTTGACCTATGTTTAATATCTCGACCCTTTCTTTTGTAGGTAATGCCTATGTCTGATATCTTGACCCTTATTATTGTAGGTAATGCCTATATCTGATATCTTGACCTATGTCTGATATCTTGACCCTTTCTTTTGTAGGTAATGCCTATGCTTATGATGACACCAGTTCTTCCAGTGACAGTGATGATGAAGTTCTGAAGCGTTACCAGGAAACCTTGAAGCATAGAAGCAGCATACAGCGCTCTGACACAAAGCATAGTGTTGCTAACTCAAATAACAGTAATATTGGGAAAAAGAAGAAAAGTAGGTTAATATATTAACATTCAAAGTGAGACATATGGTGACAGTCAATTAATTTTGTAAACATAGGGCCATTTTATGCATAATGTGAATCCATACAGTACTACTGTAGCTTTCTCATTTTATCTTCTCTGCTAACTAATAAAATTTAGCTTAATCAATACATGTACAATGTTTCGGTCTTTGGAACCATTAATTAATATTCTCAAATTGAATTTATCACATTATTAGGGAGGAAGTGTATGTTTAATGTTAAGGTATTAAATATGTTTGATAAAGGTCTTAATACAAAAAAAAACCTGCATTCACAGTGAGAGATAACGGAAGGTTGCTTAAATATAGTCTTTATGAAACTAAAAACAGGAATCTAATAGAAGGTGAAGTGAGATGTGAAAGGTTTCTATGGATATGAGAATTTTTTTGAGGCAATATCTTTAAGGTGTTAAGATACAGCTAAGTACTGATGACCTTAATTACATCATACACTAGGCTTTATGTCTTTGGAGGAAAGCAGTATTAGAATTATTTTAACCATTAGAGTGATTAGGGGATTCAAACTTTGGTCACAATAACAGCTTTTGGTAATTCAAATTTGTGGTGTTTTTTTTTTTTTTTTTTTTTTTTTTTTTTTTTTTTTTAAATTTTTATAAATGAATTGGATGTAAATACATACAGGATATTTTTGGATATGGAATTTATTTCATGAGTGAGACAGGATTTTTTTTTTATATATATTAATATTTTGACGAATGCATAGCATGAGTGAAAATTAGGGATGTCAATGAGTACCTGATTAACCGGGTACTCGATGGAACGTCAGAGTATTGAATACTAAAATCGCTTCTTGGTTACTCGGATGTATATTTTTTTTCAGATTTCAAAAAACAAAGTATATATATTTTTTTAATCAAAAACTTATCAAAAATTCAACTTCAAAATGAATTGTCCCTGTTTACCTTGTAATTAGTGACTCACACCTGTTAATACCCGTTATCGCCTGTGGCTGTGTACTTGTTTATATGGTAATTACCGTGACCAATCACCTGGTACACAGCTGTTATCACCTCTTGTGATCCATTATTTTTTGGATGGCTTTAATGATTAGTTTGTAATGAACATCGTTTAATTATGGTTTATTATCCTAAAATAATTTAGTTCGCATACGGGAGTGAATTCGGATATACAAAGAAATGCCGCTACCACTTCAAAAGTGAAAAAAAAAACATTAGGAAAGAACTAAAGATTTTAAAAATGTCTAAAATTAGCTGTGCAAAGTAAACATAGCGTATATGGGGAAAACAATCAACATACATGTATTAATTAAATAATATACGTCTAGAGATCTTGACACAGTCTCTTTCTTTAAAACAATTTTTGCGCTTGTCTAATCATTGCAAAGCTGCGTTACGTATTGTCTTCCTCTTGTGTTGATCAAATTGTCTTCCTAAACAAGAACTATAAACCATTTCGAATTATGTCTTTTGTGTTTATTTGATAAATAAATTTAGTGCAAAAAATCATTTTCGTTTTGCTCGATGTTTGTGTACAGGCATAGAAAACGTTTAAAAAAAAATCTTCGATGGGGTTAGACAAGGCTTAACTGGTCTTAAAAAAATCAACACATATGTATTTTATAATTTTTTTCGAGTACCCAGGTACTCGATCGGAAAATCGTCTGAGTAACCGATTATCAAATGTTGACCGATTTGACATCCCTAGTGAAAATATTCAAAAATCCTGTCTCAATTATGGATGAAAATCCATATCCAATTAAAAAACATTGAATTTTCTGTCTATTTTCTTGGATTCTCCCTTTGCCACTGTCTTCTCATAAGTGTGTCGAAGGCTGTGACATCATAGTTGAGCAGTTGGGACATAAATATAATTACACCATATAGATACAAATTGTCACATACTAGTAATCAACAATTCCTTGTAATATTGTCATATACAGTCAATATCAGTCAATATAATTTCTCAGTGATATTATTCAAAGAATTCAACTTGAGCCTTTGAGTTCTGAATAAAAAATTTCCTGGAGTTTTGAGATTATTAATTTGCAAACATTTGTTATGTCAGTCACATGCAGACTTAAAATTATAAGTATTGAGGTATCATTTTTAGCTCACCTGAGCTGAAAGCTCAGGTGAGCTTTTCTGATCATCCATTGTCCGTCATCCGTTCGTCTGTCCCTCTGTCCGTCTGTAAACTTTTCACATTTTCAACTTCTTCTCAGGAACCGCTGGGCCAATTTTAAGCAAACTTGGTACAAAGCATCCTTGGGTGAAGGGGATTTTAAATTATTAAAATGAAGGGCCAAGCCCCCTTCCAAGTGGAGATAATCAAGAAAAGACAAAAATAGGGTGGGGTCATTAAAAAATCTTCTTCTCAAGAACCACTGGGCCAGAAAAGCTGAAACTTATGTGGAAGCATCCTGGGGTAGTGTAAATTCTAAATTGTTCAAATCATGACCCCTGGGGGTAGGACGGGGCCACAATAGGGAATCCAAGTTTTACATTGAAATATGTAGTAAAAAATCTTTAAAAATCTTCTCAAGAACCACTGGGCCAGAAAAGCTAAAACTTAAATGGACGCATTCTGGGGTAGTGTAGATTCTAAATTGTTCAAATCATGACCCCCAGGGGTAGGACGGGGCCACAATAGGGAATCCAAGTTTTACATTGAAATATGTAGTAAAAAATCTTTAAAAATCTTCTCAAGAACCACTGGGCCAGAAAAGCTGAAACTTATGTGGAAGCATCCTGGGGTAGTGTAGATTCTAAATTGTTCAAATCATGACCCCTGTGGGTAGGGCGGGGCCACAATAGGGAATCCAAGTTTTACATTGAAATAGTAGTAAAAAATCTTTAAAAATCTTCTTTTCAAGAACCACTGGGCCAGAAAAGCTGAAACTTATGTGGAAGCATCCTGGGGTAGTGTAGATTCTAAATTGTTCAAATCATGACCCCTGTGGGTAGGGCGGGGCCACAATAGGGAATCCAATTTTTACATTGAAATATGTAGTAAAAATCTTTAAAAATCTTCTTTTCAAGAACCACTGGGCCAGAAAAGCTGAAACTTATGTGGAACCATCTTGGAGAAGTGTAGATTCTAAATTGTTCAAATCATGACCCCAGGGGTATGGCGTGGCCACAATAGGGAATCCAATTTTTACATTGAAATATGTAGTAAAAAATCTTTAATAATCTTCTCAAGAACCACTGGGCCAGAAAAGCTGAAACTTGAGTGGAAGCATCCTGGGGTAGTGTAGATTCTAAATTGTTCAAATCATGACCCCCCGGGGGTAGGGCGGGGCCACAATAAGTAATACAAGATGGGAAATCAGGTGAAAAAACAACAAGGCCAAAGTTACCAGGTGAGCGTAGTGGCCCATGGGCCTCTTGTTTAACATCTGTTGGAATATGGGTTGGTACATGATCAAATAATATATAGTTATATATACATTAAAACCCTTTGAGCTTCATGAGATTAGATCATGTGACCAACAGTATATTTTCATAGAGGTTTATAAATGCCTTATTTCTGTTTCTAAAATTATACCATTTTTATCAATTGATAACAATTTCTTTACAATCTTTTAATGTATGTTTGATCAGGCAGAACTTTTGAGAGTCAGGCTTCATTGATCAAGGAAAAGAAGATCCCAAGTCCTGGTGTTTTATCAAGTGGGGAAGAAGATGGGGGAACAGTGAGTCCAGAGAGGGTCAGACCAGATATAGCACAGGGGGAGTTGAGGGGGTCCCAGGAGTCTCTTACAGGGTCACAGCAGCAGCTTGTGTTTGAGAATAAGGCGTATGACCAGGAAGACAAGATGTCTACCACAGAGGAGGGGATGTCCTCAGTACGCAGTGAAAGCATGTTACCGGGGGCCGAGGATGATGTAAGGAAGGGGTCTGGGAATATATTACAGTGAAACTTGTCTAATCCGGATGATGTGTATTCCAAAATCTTGCCTAATTCTATGTCAACTTTAAGTCCTTTATGATAAATCCTATAGTTTAAACGTTGTCTAATTCGAAATGTTGTTTAATCTGGACAATTTTTATGGAACCATAGGTGTCTGGATTAGACAAGTTTGACTGTATATAGAAACATTTCTCATTTGCAAATTGACAATCAAAAACTGGTCAGCAATGATGCATATTTGTGATAAAGCTTTCCTTTTTTGTAAAACATAGTGAGGAACTGGTTTGTGACAAGCTTCAATTGCTGATGAATCTCACAAACATATATCTTGCATGTATATAAAAGTTGTTTTACAGTATTTTATTTAAAGATTTATATGAAAAGTAAACATAATTGTTGCTGATAACAAAAACTTGATTTATAATCCTATTACCGGTATATCAAAAATCTTGTCAAATATAACAATATTAAATATTACTATAAGTGTGAATTTCATTTACAATACATTAAATTAAAAACAAAATTTTTAGAATGAACCTTCTTCTGTCATTTGTTATTAGAAAACAATTTACTTTCCCTGCGGATTAGCTATTTGATATTATGAAATATGATGCAGAGTTTCTAGGAAATGATATATTTCATTGTTAATGTAGAATAGTCGGGTTATATAACTGCATAGTTTATAATTCATTTACATAAGAGCACTTGTTTTATATTATTTATTTACACAGGAGCACCTGTTTGATGTAAGTGACATGAATCAAGAAGAGCCTTCACTGATTTCTAAGTGTGGAAGTCTGGAGATGACATTTAAGTACGATCCTAATAAAGCAAAAATGGCAATCACGATCCACCAGGCCCAGGACATCCCCAGTAAGGAGCGGGGAGGGGCCAGCAGTACCCAGGTCAGAATCATGCTACTCCCCACCAAAAAACAGCGCTACAAAACCAAAGTCAAAACTGGTGAAAACCCAGTCTTCAATGAGAACTTTGTCTTCAACAAAATTCCACATGGTATGGAACAATAAAAGTGTTAACTGATTTACTTTCTTATTATTTTCATTTTAATATGGACTATTTTAAGATTTACTGTATTCAGGGAAATTTTCATCCCCGTTTTATTTTCGCCCCTTTCACCCTCGTTGAGTTGGTTGAATTTAAAATGGGGTGAATTCAAGGAAAACGGCATCATTTCTTAAACAGAACTGTGTCCAGGCGAATTCAAAACAGGGCAAAATCATTTGCATGTGTAAAAGTGTGAAATTAAGATGGGGTGAAAATAACCCTGTATACAGTATTTCAAGTGCTGGAGATTTTTATGGCATACAAAAAAAATTAAAATTAAATGAGACAATTTATTTAAAGTTTTGTGTATATTTATATTTTCTTGATACCCAGAAAATAATACAGTAATATGACTTTTTTAGAGGAAGTTTATGAAATGGGAATGCGAATTCGTTTATATGGAATGGAGAGGATGCGTAGAGAACGCATGATAGGGGAAACAATTATTGGATTTGCATCACTTAACCTTGATGTAACTTCAACCCACTGGATCATTCTGGAGCCCAGAAGTAACCTCAGTGTAAGTCAGATCTCTTTTCTTTTAGCTCACCTGAGCTGAAATGAGATTTTCTGTCTTCCCTCTTTGTCTGTGAGTCTGCAAAGTTCAGTCTATGCGAAAGTCTAAAAGTTTTACAGGACATGATGTCTGGTAAAAATATATATTTTACCAGACCAAGCATTTACTTACCAGACTGACCTAAATTTTCTTTAAATTTAATCATACATCATTATGACAGAGATTGTTAAATGGGGGATTCTCACTGTTAAATTGAACCTCAAATAAATCCAGATTTGAGATTATTAAAAAAAATATTTTATTGAAATGAACAAGCTTATATTAATAATTTTCCTTTTTAAAAGGTAATATACAATCCCATACAATTGTCTTTTTTTTCTCTGGTTATTTGACACACACAAATGAAATACACATTGTCAAAGATTTTTTTTTAAACTGAAAATGCACTTTAAAATATATTTATTTCTTTCCTGAAGTAACTAATTACTCATTGCATTTACTCTTGTTTAATAATGAAAATAATTTTGCTCAACTGAATCTATGAGCTATCTATGGATCTGTATTCCACGACAGAGGAAATTCAAGTTAAAAATAAACGATCATGAAAGGATTCTTGTAGATTAAAATTAAACATGTATTACTGCTACATGGATCAAATAAAGGATATGTGTGGACAATAAGACCATATGTATATGTAAATTCAGATTTTTAGGCCTTAATTTTTCATCGGACAATTGGTCCTGTATCCTGAATTTTTTTACCGACTTTCGCATAGACTTAAAGTTTTTAGATTTTTTCTTTTTTAACTCACTTGAGCTCAAGCTTCATGTGAGCTTTTTTTGATCATCTGTTGTCCATCAGTTGTCTGTCTGACCATCCATCTGATCATCTGTTAACTTTTCAAATTTTCTTTTTCTCCAATACCACTGAACCAATGATCTTTAGAATTTTTTTTTCAAAAACAAGTAGGTCATGATTAGCTATACTAAAATGCAAGCATCCATAGGTAGTGCAGATTAAAGTTTGTTCAAGTCATTGTCCCTATGGGGTAGGGTGGTTTTGCAAAAGGGAAATCGGGTTTTAATTGGGAATATAAGAAAAATCTTTTCAAGAGTAGCAAGGTTACACTTAATCATATTGATATGCAAACATTCCTAAGTTGTGAGGATATTATTTTTAATTATGGACCCTAGGGTAGGATGGGGCTATAATCAGAAATCAAGTTGTACATAATGTATGTGTATGGGGGAAATTATGAAAATTCTCCTTCTCCAGAATGACAAGGCAATATTTGTCATACACCTACTAAAGCAGCCTTATTCTGTACTGGTTCAAGTTCATTTAAATGAAAAACCCCATTCTAGATGAGGAACACAGTATGATGTCAACATTTTTCATTGGGATAAAGAGGGAATAAAACCTTTTAAAAGTCTAAAGAACAGCAGAGGTGAATCAGGTGAGCCTGTGGGCCTCCCATTTTTTTTTTTTTTTTTTTTTTTTTTTTTTTTTTTTTCGGGGGGGGGGGGGGGGGGGGGGGAGGTATTGTACAGGCAGAAGACTCCAGATTAGACAACTCTAGCTAACTGGATTATACATGTATTTGTATAGGCAGGCGACTCAGGATTTGACATCTCTAGCTTATCAATTTAAATAGACTCGGGTTTTTGATGTTTCCAGCTTATCATTTTGTATTTGTACAGGAATGAGATTCATGATTTGATGTAGCTATCTTGTTGTTTTACAATTGTACAGGCAGGAGACTCAAGATTTGATGTCTCGAGCCTATCTCGCAGTGACAGTGCTTCCTCTACTCAATCCATGCAGCATGGAGGAATGCCAGAACTCCTACTTGGTCTCTCTTATAATGGCACAACTGGACGACTACAGGTAGAGGTCATCAAGGGAAGTAACTTCAAGAATATGGCCATGACTCGGCCACCAGGTGAGATAGTGTTCTTTTATGCTTGTCACATGTGTGTTTTATCTATAAGTTAAAAAAATTGTACTTGTGTGTTATATGAATATTTATCAGAAATAGTTTTCAAAAAATTGTTAACATTGACAGTAAATTGGCTCCATAATATGACCTTTTTGACAAGTTTACATACAATTTATCTTTAGAAATTAAGTGAAAAAATCAAACATTATTTCAACATTATTTGCAGTACTGCTGAAGTCTTCAACTCAGAGTACAAAAAAGCTAGGTGCCTAGATTTGTATATCTATATATAGAGTTTAGAAATAAGTCAATACAATAAATTAGATGTGCATGTGAAGGAAAAAGGCTTTTAAAGAAATGCCACCTGTACATGGGTGAATTAAAAAAAAATGACCACCAAACTGAATTTTTTTGGCAAAATTCAACTACTTATAACATATTTTTCACTTATATCATCATATTGCAAATTCATTCTAGTTTAAAATCCTGAAGTGGCAACAGAATAGACAATTGGATTAAAAAGTTTCAGAATTTTTATTAGTAAAATTTCTTTTGAGAAAAGAAAATATCATTACACCTAAAAAGACTTTCTAAAATATATAATCACAAGAAATTATAGTTTTTTTTGGCTTCAAAATGGTAAAAGGGGTATAAATGATTAAATCTAGACCTTGAATGAGTATCTTCTCTTGTACATGTGACAAAAAATTGGCTTTTTGATTGTTATTTTACATTATTTTTTCAATTCTGGTTTGAAAAGTTTTAATATGAAAAAAATATGAAGCAATAAAATTCCCCAAAATTCACATTTTTGTAGGTTCAAGTCAGTTCTTTAAATCTGAGCCAAAAAAGAATTGTTATATACGAGTTCTCTTACAAAAAATACTAGATTTTGAAGTGACCCTATGTTACATTATTGTGTTGCACTCCTGACATCTGATATGTATTTTATTTAACATTGTTTTAAAAATTATAACACATAATAACCCATTCTTACTTTGTAAATCAATTTGTCGTGTTGATATTTTTCATCGTTTACAGCAGGTTTTTCATATTTTGAAGACCTTAAAACATGATTATTTGCAAAGTGTAATATATATAAATTGTATTTAAAATATACGTGAAATGATGAAAACTATTCCCCGAATTGACTGTAAAATTTCTGTAATTTGTTGATAGACATAGTGTTTTGAACATCAAATAGTATCAAGCATTTTTTTTCAACTTATGTTTTAGTAAAGGTAGTTAAAAAGCATTGGTAATTATGAAGCAGTTTTGTTGCACTCCTGACTGCAGTAAAGTTTAAAATTAAAACCAGAGAACATGAAAATTCATAAAGTGTTGGAAACATCAAGTGGTAATGAAATTGTGCAATACTTATAGTCCAATACTTCATAATTAAAACAGATGAAAGTATTTAAAATCGCATTTTATCTGGAATTATACCCTATTTTATGCCAAAAAACTAGCTCAAATGTATATTTAGAAGATAAAATATATTTTAAAGCATATTTTCCCTTAGAAGACAAACACAGTAACCCACCAGAAAAATTCTACTCATCATTTTTTCTTTATTTTTATTCTTATTGGATGATTTATAATTCTAACATATTTGTTGCACTCCTGACCAAAAGCATTGGAGCCTTTAAAGTAGAATTGTGAAGTGAAAATTACATAAGAACTTGTTCTGTTGTTTCAGTGAAGTTGAGGAGGAATTACTTGAATCTTATGACAATGTTTTAGTGTGTATATTTTTAACATTCATTAAAAAAATCACAAAAAAGATAAAAACACATCTGAATTGATAAAATTGAAAAAGGAAGGATTTTAATAATAAAACTGTCAATAATTTAGCATTGAATTATACAAAAAGATCATTATTAATTAATGAATACTTCTAAGCATGAATAGAAGTCTTTTCGTCACACAACTTGAATCTTTAAAAAAATGTGTTGCACTCCTGACCATAGAAATATGGATCTGAAGCACAGACGGATCCTGTAATTGATAAATTTATTTGGTAAAAATGTTCTTTGTGTCTTTATTTTCCAAAATAAAAACCAGAAAATCATATAATGATAATAGTTTTTTCATGCTTAGGAGCAAAACATCAAATGTTGCACTCCTGACATTTTTGGGTATGCACATATACTTGACTCTCATTAATGATGCTTGTGATTTATATAACATTTTTAAGTTTTAGAATGTATATCAGTTATTATTTTACACTTCCAAAATTCTTTTTTGTCTTAATTTTCTTTCAGAATTTTACAATTGACGTTTTTTTGGCAACACTACATTTTTTCTGTTGCACTCCTGACATGGTATAACATTTCTTTAAACATCAGCCATGACCACAACTTGATTAAACAAAAGTTATGACAGTCCACATTTAAAGCTCAATACTTTGAATATTATCAGGAAAGTCTTTATCTTCAACATGAAGCATTATTTTTTATTTCACAGATCTCCAAAAAATATTGAAATTTCAAAATGTCACAAAAAGGTGTTGCACTCCTGACAATTTTAGCATCATTTTTGGGCATAACTTTTTTGTTAATTGAGATATCAACGAGATATTTGGCAGGTATTTAGACACTATCTAAAGACGTATGCTGAGACATAGAAATCTATTTTCACTGCCTGTATTTTTAGTGTGGGTTGATAAATATGTGTTTGGTCATTTTTTTTGAATTCACCCACATGGTAATTTATTAAAGGGGAGCAACTCTGCACCAATAGACATTGCTTTTATAGGACACGCTACAAAATCCTCCGCCAACCAGACATGAACTATAATTTCTCTTCAGTTGTCGTCAGTAATGGGATGTGATCAGTCTGTTACAGTACGTGGAATGCATGCAGTTTAGAGATCTGTAGAGGCAGAATTAATGATAATAAGCACCCATGTTCTTTGTCTTCTTAGAACCCTTTCTTATTCTCAATATCTTGAGAACCATGAGGAGTATTAAGTTAAATCACCGATGCTTTTTAGATCTTCATGTTTTAGCTTTTAAACATATCTGATTTACAAAGAAAGCAAATGGTCATTTGTCCACATTTGTGGTTTATAAAAAATATGCTTTGATTAATTGTCTGAAATTCTTACATGAATTTACATGAATTTCATTGTTAGAAACATAATGGAATTATGTGTACCAGTAACATGCAAAGTATTTCATATTTCCTACTGAAGAAGAAAATTATGAATTATATCTTTATTATTTACATTTACAGAGTGAACTGGGTAATTTTTTTGAAATTGAGTAACTGTATATTTTATGTTTGCATATTATATGTACAATATACATGTTTAGTATATCAATGTAAAATCATTCAATTTCATTTTTCTATAGTGTCACATGTTAGTTGATGTTTTCATTTTATTGAAAAATGAAAATTTGTTCCCATCAAAAATCAACTCTTTCAATTTGCACAAATGGACTTTTTCAGATACATATGTGAAATTGACATTGATGTCTCCAACTGGACAGGAAGTAGCTCGGAGTAAGACATCCGTTCGACGTGGTCAGCCAAATCCACTTTTTAAGGAAGCCTTCATGTTCCAGGTGGCACTGTTTCAGTTGGCAGAGGTCACATTGATGGTGTCTGTGTATAATAAACGTAGCATGAAGAAAAAAGATATGATTGGGTGGTTTGCATTGGGTATGGCTTTTTCATATTTTTTTTAATTTTACGATTTCTTTAACACAGGTTTAAAGTTTGTTAACAACAAGAGTTTAAAAAATAAAAAAAAAAAACAAACAAAAAAACAAAAACAAAAAACTTATAAATTGAGAAGAGAAAGTTTGACTAATATACATTAGGTAAAGGGCTAAGTATGAAAAGGGGATACATATTATAACCAATCCTTTTAATGGTCCATTATATTTTTTTCAGGTTTAAATAGTAGTGGGGAGGAGGAACAAGCCCACTGGACGGATATGAGGGAATCCAAGGGGGACCAGGTGTGTCGCTGGCACATACTTTTAGAGTCTTAGGACTTAGGGAGGCCATGTCTATCACTGGCTCATACTTCTGGAGTCTTAGGACTTAGGGGGACAGAAAATTTGGTCTGTATCAGATGTGGAGAAATGAACTTGATTAAGAAAAAATGTCTGAGCATAAAGAGGATTTTTTCCAAATATCATCTGATTGCAAACATTTCTGTGTTCACCTACATGCTTAATTTATTTTGTATGGTTATGGTTGAATACAAATTATGTTCAATTTTAGAGAGAATTTTGATTTTAGTTGATAAGAACATGTACTTAAATTAGAAGACGACTCTGTATCTTTACTTAGAAAATGTATTATCTTATGCTACATTTACTTTAAATACTTTTTCTTCGTGAAACAAAAATTCTATGGAAATTCCTGAAAAAGACCAAAGAATCTCAGAGCTGAAGAAATGATAATGTGTTCAGAATGTATTTTTTATTTTATATTTCTATCTTTATCTTACATTTTTACCCTATTTTGATTATTTTCATTTTCACATTAAATTGTGTCCGCTGTTTCATTAGAATTTCCTACTTGTATTAAAATCCGCAGTATTATCATTACTATTGATGACAAAGCTTTCTATGTTCATATTTTTCTGTACTTAATGTCCCCTTTTCTTAATACTCTAACTTGCATTCTCATGTTGTTTGGTCAAATTTGTATCTTATTAATCATAATGATATACCTACCATGACGTGAACTGTTGATTTCATTATGCCCACATTTCGTGATGTGCTTCTGGTTAGATTGTGTATCTCCTGATATAAGTAAAGGGTTGTAGATGTATTAATTTGTCCAACAGGTATATACTGTTACATGTTACTGAATGAAAACGTTAGTTTTATATGTATTTATGTCTACATTTTACAAAGTCCATAAAAGTATAAACGGGAATGCTTCATGAAATATCTGTGTGAGAATTCCAACTTCTTACCCTCATAAAGTTTTCAACATTTTAGACATTTCTTAAATGGAAATCCTTAGCGAACTTGAATATTTTTCTATTTTAAGTGCTGATTTAGATTAAATGACAAGTTATTGTTATACACGTACCAAAATTCTATGTTTATTTGTTTGTTTCTCACATGATGGTTGTGTTATGTAAATCCTGCAATCCAAATTCTTTTATGGTTTTCTTAATCTTATCCTTATTTTGTTTCTTTTAATCTACAATGAAGTTGTTTTCTTTGTTTGCATGTTTGTTTCTCGTTGTTGTTTTTTTAATTCATGTTAATTTAGGTGTAAAAAAAAATTACAAAATGAAATCTTTAGAACCTGTATTTTGATTTTTTTTTTTTAATTGAAGAAATCTTCAATTTCCTTTGATTAATTTTAGATGTTACAGATGTTATAGCAGAGGCATAAAATTTGTGTTATCTCCCTTTAATAGGAATTGAACATAATGTACAATTAATTATTAAATCTCGGGATTTTAATTTTTTTGGGCAATATCTGAATTTTTTGGAGAATGTAAAAACCTTGAAATGATTTCACCTGATTTTTTTCCCCAAAGAATCATACTACAATTTTTGTTTATATTTTAAATTTATTCTCATTAAAATATATATCTTGTTGTCTCATATTTTGCATATTTTAATCACACAGTTTTCTCTTGTCCCAAGTTGTGCATAATAATATATATTACCAATGTTACGCATTCTTTATAGATGAATATATTTATACATTCCTTATATTGTCTGTTATATCTATTAATGTTAGTGTATAGAAAATGTTATATTATTTTGTTACAGGTAATTATTAGTGCAAATACTTTTTTTTTTAAGATTTTGGTTGTGAATGTAACTTTTTTGTGGTAGGGTTGTTCACAATTCTAACTTAATCCTTAAAACTTAAAAGTTGGTCAATGTGAAAATGGCACTTAATTTTAGAAATGTCAAATTTCATGTCCATACTGTACACTTTTTTTTATTTTGCTTTTGTACATCAACTTAAGAATTTAATTTTCACTTCATATATTTTATTTAAGGTGTAACTGAAGGTAGAGGTTTTCAAAAAGATCAGGGTAATCAACTTCAAAACTACAATATCTCTAATCAATTTGACCAGTATTCAACTTGAAAATTCACAGCCCAGATAGTGTATGTGAATGTTGTTGATGATTCAGTTACTTGTACTGTGTACACTTGATTTGTACAAAGCTATTGTCATTCCTGGAGCTAGGTTACAGTAAATGAGATTTCATGAATAAATTGTTCATGTAGAACTGATATCAAAAATTAATAAATGGAATATTTAATAAAGTTTAAAAAAGCAATTATTTTGTTGTTCCTTACCCAAAACGTATAATTTTAATTTAACAGATAAACATTCAAACCTTGTTATCTTGAACTCGATGGGACTGAGAGAAAACTTCGAGATATCTGAGGATTCAAGATATCGGGGGTAAAATACTTAAAAAACAAGAGGCCCATGGGCTACATCGCTCACCTGAGCACATTGGCTAGGAAAAACAGCAAAAATCAGTACAGTATTGAAAAGTTTACAGGGAGGGGGGTGTTGAATTTTAAACTACCTGATGATGCTTTCATATCAATATAACAAATGGCTTTGTTGTTCTTGAGCAGCAGATTTTTTTCCCATATATTCATTTTTAAAAATTTGATCCCCCATTGTGGCCCCACCCTACCCCTGGGGGCCCTCATTTGAACAAATTTCATTCAACACTACCCAAAGATGCCTCCATATCAATTTGACTAATCATGGCTTTTCTGTTCTTGAGAAAAAGACTTTTTCCTAGATATTCCTCTGTAAACTTTGATCACCCATTGTGGCCCCAACCTATCCCCGGGGTAATGATTTGAACAAACTTGAATCTTCACTATCTGAGGATGCTTCCATATAAATATGACCAATCATGGTTTTACTGTTCTTAAGAAGAAGATTTTTAACGATATTTTCCTATATATTTCTATGTAAAACTTGGATCCCCCATTGTGGCCCCACCCTAATCCCGGGGGTTATTATTTGAACAAATTTGAATCTTCACTACCTGAGGATGCTTCCATATAAATATGACCAATCATGGCTTTACTGTTTTTAAGAAGAAGATTTTTAGAGATATTTTCCTATATATTTCTATGTAAAACTTTGATCCCCCATTGTGGCCCCACCCTACCCCCGGGGGTCATGATTTGAACAAACTTGAATCTACACTACCTGAGGATGCTTCCACGTAAGTTTCATCTTTCCTGGCCCAGTGGTTCTTGAGAAGAAGATTTTTAAATGATGCCATTATTTTTTCACTAATTCCTAATTATCTCCCCTTGAAAGAGGGCGTGGCCCTTCATTTGAACAAACTTGAATCCCCTTAACCCAAGGATGCTTTGTGACAAGTTTGGTTGAATTTGGCCCAGTGGTTCTTGAGAAGAAGATGAAAATGTGAAAAGTTTACAACGACAACGCCAACAACAACAACGACGACAGACAACGGACAAATTTTGATCAGAAAAGCTCACTTGAGCCTTTTGCTCAGGTGAGCTAATAAGTGGTTGGGACTTCCAAATCACTTCAACATATGTATGGTATTCGATATATCAGTGTTCAAGATACCGAAGTTCAACTGTAATTTATATCTTGTGGTGGTCAGGTAGATAGTGTTCCTGGAGACCAGATACATGTAGCTCAGTTGGTAGAGCACCTGATTAGTGATTCAGGGGGGCCTGGGGTTAGAAAACCTGGTCTGGTCCATTGCATATTTCTCCTTTCCTGTTACAACCCTATACTTTTCATGTATAATGCATGTACAGATGAGGCAGGAGTAATTTAAATGTTGAGTTTATACCTCAAGTGCTCATATACATTTGTGTACTCTTGAGCTCATGTTAATGCTTTCTTTTAACATGCTCTTGGGTATCTTCCTTGTGATCATATGGATAAATGTTGAACTGAAAACCATCGCAATAGAAGATGATTGTGTATAAATGTTAAACACGATAAATATTCAGATCAAGAGAATTAACCTTTTAATTTATGTAAACTGCAGTCATTCAAAGACTCCAAATTGCAGTGAGTGCAATGTTTTCTGTTTCTGATACTGACGTTTACGTTGAATTTTTTTTTTTTTTTTTTTTTTTTTTTAGCAAAATGTGCATCAGACATTCAATGAATTAACTTACAGGAGGGAGATGGATGTGGTGTATCTGATCAGTAAATACAGGATACTCAAATGTTTTGGATTGAGTATTTATTTCAAGATTGGGACAGGTTTTTTTTTTTAAAACTATATTTTCACAAGTATGAAGTTTGATTGAAAATATTGAGAAAAAAAGAAGTTTCATGAGTGAAAAAATTAAATTTCCATAGCCAACTACTCAACTGACTATTTTGTTTATTACGTTTTCTGTAATATGGTTTTCCTTTCAACCTTATAAGGTAAAGTGAGTAGTTCTTTTCAAAGTATGAAAATAAATTTAAATTTTGTTCAATGGATAATACAATAGTGTAGTAAAGAGTTATATCCCTTTGATTGTGATGACATTTGAAATAGTCCACAGATGGAAAATTAAAAATAATAATAAAAGATATGCATCCAGTTCCCATTTAGGAAGCATATTTAAAAGAACAAAAAAGAAAAATAAATAAATACAGTGCACCTGCTATGATCTATATGTATACATGTAGTTTAAATTATATGCTGCATGCATGTACATGCAAACATGAAGTTTTAGTTAACGCTATTTCTATCAGCCATTTCTTTTTCCCTTTAAAAAAAATCATCTTTTTGTATTTTTTTTTCTTAAAATTAAAAAAAAAGTAGGATCATACCTATTCCACTTTCTTGGAGAAAAGGGGTAGATCTATTATAAATGTTTTTATTTGTGGGATTTTGTATTAAATTGTTAAACTAAATAAGAAATTTACCAATATTATATTTTTACAAAAAATACTATTGTCATTGTTAGGAAAATATCTTTTACAGGAAAAAAAGACTAATCGATATATTTAAATATCTCCGGACCGCCCACCTAATGTTTGACCTGACCGACTCCGAGTTGTACGCTCATTCAAACATTCAACTAACCCTGATTCACTGAGCCGTGGTTTGTAAATGTGGTTGACGTATCGAGGTGCAAGTCAGTGAAAATGATATCTAACAAGGAACTGTGTAACTGGGAATATTAAAGAATGATTAAATATGAGCAATGTAAAAGTAGCTGTCCGTGTTCGTCCACTTAGTCAACGGTAGGTAGACGTTCATAGTTTTCTTAAAGAGTTTGCAACTTGCAAACATACTTTTGAAAAAAAAAAAGTTTTAAAAGATCGCAAAAAATATGTCAGGATGTAATCAATTTCCTTTCGGTTTTAAAATGTTTTTAAAGAAAACTTTTGCTTTGAATTCTGTTTTATGTTTTAGAGAAAAGGATGGCAACAGCAAATCTATCGTGGAGGTTCACGGGGACAGCCTCAGTATCCTTAACGCGAAGGTAGGCGTGGATCTAAGCATTTGTGAAGTGTTAGTAGATGCATATCAAATCTTTTATTCCCATATTTAACAGTGGATTTTACATACTTTTACGTTCTTATTTGATTTTGTGCATCATTGGATTATGTATTTGATCAGATTTCTCTGGTTTGATCATGCCATGTGTTGTTGGCCAGTGCCCCCAGGGTTTATTTTAAGGAGAATAATTAGGACTATTTTTTCTAGAGGGTAGATAGTCTTAAGCTCAGTCAGAGCACATGCTTTTTTACAGCTCATGTGTATCTCATTAAAGCCCTGCTGTGGGACAGCTGGCAGATTCACCATGTTCACAGTAACACAAATCTCAAACAGCTGATCTAAGACAGTCAATTGTGTTATTCTACATCAGAAGGATAAAAATAGACCTTAAATTCTTCCCTTTCATTACTTTCAATATAGCCATTTTCATAATAATTGATTTAAAAATGTTTTAAAGCTCTTTTGTATTTGATATTCTACAAAGTTAAACAGATTTTCAATTTTACATGTATCACTTCGTTTAATTCTTCCATTTAAATATTCTGGATGAGTAATTTATTAGCAATACTGTTAGTTTTTAAAGACTCTTGTAAGTAGATGAATTTAATATTCATATACACCTATACATTTGCAAGTATAAACATGCATATTTATATATAGGTTTATAAATACAAGTGAATGTGCACTGCAATATGAAGGCAACAGAATATCTTTTTATAATAAATGCTCTAAATAATATATTATGACACATTTGACAGCTGATTTAAAAGGATAAGCCATAAATACATTGGAGTGTCACTTCAGCCTTTCCTAAGGGAGATTCGTGGGAAAAAAATGTAATTAAAGATTAAAAAATGATGTTTTGAATCTTATTACATGCATTAATAGCAATCCTAAATTCTTCTTTTGTTTTCAACAAAAAGGCATTTTCAACAAATAGTTAAATGTGTTTATGACCAAAACTGGATTGGTTTCAAAAGCATGTCAAAAAAATTGGCAGATATCAATTAAACAGTTCAGAATTTACGATCTACCTTCTGATTAAATCAAATGGCTTTGAAGGTTTGATATTTTGTTGGTAATCGTATCTTGATAAGGCTTACTGTTAAGTTTAGTCAGAACTAAAGGAATAAACTTGAAATAATAAATTTAAGACGTTATATAAAACCGTGAATGAACACTGATTATAGAATAAAGACTTAATCCCGCTAGACAAATAGGTTTTTCTAACAATTAACTTTGTAGTGTAAGGTTTTCAAAAAATTAAATGTGCAAGACAAGAGGGTTATTATATTGAAAGATTAAACAAATCTCACTGAACTCTAAAGTGGTTCTAATACTGCACTGATTTTTAATAAATATGACTTGCAATTTTGTAACTTGAGCATTCAGATAGAAATAATGTAATTAAACTGTACCGGTTTATATAAATCTTTAAGCTTCCAAAAAAATTATCAATATTCTGCAATTTGAAAACATCAGAGAATTGTATATTTGCTCTTATTATTTACATGTTTTAAGGATTGAAAATACAACAAATACTGTTAAAATTTCTATATATTTATCAATATTTGTATTATCCATTAGTGCACTTTAGGTTATAAAGAAAAAAACATGCTGCATGTGTAGAAGGTGTAAACATTTATATTTTATTCAAATGCATCATAGATATATATGAATAATAGACTTTATAAATATTGAAATATTAAACTTGGCCCAGTTTTGTCTTATGAGTCATGTGATAAACTGCTGTAGAATTGATTTCAGGTGGAGCAGTATTCTGAATATGGAGACAGTAGAGAAAAGATCAAACATTTCACATTTGACTACTGCTACGACTCTAGCGGTGCTCCCCAGTCCCCAGGGTATGCCTCCCAACAGCTGGTAAGTGTCCTATATATCTCCCATTTCCACCCCCCACCTCAGCCCATCCCCTCCACCCCCCAAACCCACCCTACCCTTCCCTTATATATACTAGTTAGTGTCCCATACCTCACATCCCCTGACCCCCTGATCCCTTCCACCCACCCTCTTTCCTTGCATCCATACAGGTTGTATAAATCCATGGATGACCCCCCCCCCCCCCCCCCCAAGAGTTTGCAATTAAATTTGATAACATTGAACTACCCAACCCATGCCCACTTTTCGTCTGATCTTCACGATTATCATATCTTTAGCACATGAAATATACATTGTATGCAAATACAGTATTTTGGATGCTGAGGAATACTCTTGAAAGAAACTCCTGAAATGAAATCAAATGACTTTGTTATACAGAATCATAAACTTTCAGTGATAAATTTTGCAAAGCATTTGATTAAATAACATATATTTTGTCTCTGTCTCAGTGATGGCTGGACACAGTTGTTTTGTTTTTGTTACTGGGTATTTGTGCTGAACTTTGGGATTATATTTTGTCCCCCATTTTGCCAGCCTTTACCTTGTTTGTTGTTCACGTAAGTCATGTACAGTGAATAGGTTATGTGTCTGCCGTGTTTGTTTTGTCTAAATATAGGTCCTTGTGTATTCAAATAGTAACAGCTGGTCAACCATAATGTGTAAACTCTATAAAAGAATCAGGGACTGTGAAAATAAGAATATCTTAGTCTATGAATAAAAATCTACAAACATTGACAATTCGAAGCTATAATGGCAAGATGGCATGATGAAAAATTAAATATTTCACTAATTTATTAACTTTAAAAGTTTAGCTAAATAATTTTTGTTTTGCATCTCTGTTTTGCCTTTGAGTCTTTGTTTTCTAATGCATATTTACTTGATTTATATTTAATTCTTAAAAATAAAGGGAAAAAAATGGGCCACTTGTATGTAAGCATTAAATAAGCTTAATCATTCTGATATAAGAACTCTTTACAGCAGTCCAGTGTGGTGATATTTTACAAAGCTCCAACATATTCAGTGACTATATTCATCCCCAGTAATGTTTACCCTCTATTGATACGGATATCTGGTCTTTGTTTCCCAGCAAGCTTGTAAATAAGCCAGAATCAATGAACCCAGTAAATCCTCCACAAATGTCCATTTGTTTTCCTGGGGGGTGGGCATCAACATTCCTGGAAGTCAGGAGTTGTATTGTGGGTTTATATATAGTTTGTTTGGAGAGAGTGATGTACCGGAATTCCTGTCAAGTGAGATTGATTCCTACCCCAATGCATGAACAGAGCATTTTACGGAAGGCCATATACCCTGCGTTCATTTTGCATGTTTGCGTCCGCAATTTAAAGTTATGGATAGATACCCTGTATGTTATTGATACTGATTTATATAGCAGCTTATAGATTTCAGCCATGTTATTAGGATTAACCACATTGACTGAATCTGACAGATGTATTTTATACAAGTAAAATATATTTGGATACCAACATTTTTAATATATTCAAGACTACTGCTATAATAGATGGTTGTAGGGTATAAACATTGATTGTCTATTATAGCCTTACAAGGAAATTGCTTCAGTCAGTATGATATAACAGTGAAAGTCATAGCATTTCTTCTGTATGTAAAGTAAATGCACCCCTCCCCCCCCCCCCCCCCTTCTTGTCTTAAGCATTTATGCGTAGCAGTGACCAGTGGATACACATACTAGTCATCCTGTAGTTATTTCAATTAACAACCTGTCGGGAATTTAGCTGACCGAAGCATGCAGGTGCTTTTGTTTCCTGCCAAGTTTAAACATTGATAAGTGTGCTTTAAAATTCATAAGAAAAGGGTGGATTTTAAGATTATATGAAATATATCTTATCAAAAAGGTGCCACATTGTGCAGGTATAAGTGGCCTTTGACACAGTTTTCTGTGTATCAGAATGAGTGAATGTGATAAAGATTGCAAAGTTGGTGTTTGGTCTAATATCAATGACTTTAATTTCTACCCCTAAATTTTGACAGGTCCTAAGAAGTGGTCATTGGGAGATTTGCTTACATTATATTTCAAACAATAGCCCCCCCTTCAAGAAGCATTTTAAAGTTTACAAGGAGGTGATCAGCTGGTGAAAATTGAAATCTGTCTTTTGTAAGAATTCTAATGAAATCCTCAAGAGGAATTGATTTGTATTCTTCAGAGTTTTTATTGGATGAAACTGAGTAAGAATTTTAAACACTTGTGCTTTCCTGGCAGGTTTGAAGTTCGATATACATGTAGGTTTGTTCTGGTGATGAACGATTTCTCATTTTATGTTTTTCTCTGGCTGATAAAGGAGAGATTCCTCATTCTCTCCTTAGTTGAATCAATTATGACCGTATATTAAGTGTAGACAAATAAAGTTGCTATGACAGAGCTGGCCTTATACAAGGAACAACTTTGTATATATATTTAGTATGGGTTTTTTAAGACAAACACTGATACCAGAATCTCAATATCATTGTTTATTTTGATATCATATGTAGTACTTAATGTGTCAAACTTTGAAAATTGGCCATTTCCAGATCAATACTTTTATAATTCTGAGGAGACTCTTTGCTGTTTGAAAGGCAGTTGCATGTTTGAGTTATTGAATGCACTTCTCTGAATGGGATTTACCTTGAAGGAACCCATAACATGCTAATCAAATCATTTTCAGACCATTTCTCCACATGGTAGCCAAGTTTGCTGTCACTCTAGATGTCAGTATCAAAGCGGAAAGCACTGTTGGAAGCTTTGATCTCCTATTTACTTTCCATGCATATGTGCAGCGAAGACACGAAAAAATTAAACATCCTCATATATAAACTACAGTTACCTCATACCCTGCAATGTAAAGAAGCTGTTATTGTCAATAAAAAGTTTGCCTTTAGGAAGTAAAACATATGTAAAGTTGTCTCTATTTTTTTTTTTGAACTCTATTCACTGTTTTCTTTGCACAGCATTTTATTGCTCTCGGCATACATTTTAACAGAGTAGTATCTCAAGGAAACTCCGGTATTGTCCTTGTGCAGTGCTCGTCCCGTATAGTGTGTATAATTCTTGCGTATGATATCCACAGATTTATTTACGCTGATAAAATAGCTTCCCATCTTTTGAGAAGAAATGGTTTTGGTATTTTGTTAACTTTTATCAGGTCTGAATCATTTGATTATATAGTTAAAGGTGTTAGTGTTAAAGGGGTATACTTCGGCCCAATATTGATGGTTTTGTCGTGGTTGAATGAACGGACACGGACAATAGTCAGACAGTGATGAGCTGCCAAAACGTAATGACTTTGATAACATTGATTAACAGACATTCAAACATTTTTCATTTATACACACACACTCAGTCATGAAGTTCAAATGCAACATTAGTTCCATAGAATTTATTGTAGCTATAAGCTAATTGTTACATAATATTGTCTTTAGTTTGTCTGTATTTGTTGTAATTGCAGATCAGAAGTCATTAGGGTTAATTATCTCGTTATTTATGTCATATTTCTTGGTATGCTTATTTGAACAGTATTATGGAGAAAAAAAAATTTGAAGGATCAAAGCATTTTATTTTTAACAAAGAGGTGTTAAATGAAAGATTGATATCAAAAACTGATGTGTGAAGTCAGATAAGAAACTATTTTAAATGTTGTGATCAACTGCAGATATTTTTGGTGAACCTGTTCAATCAAATTTCCAAAAAATAAAGAACCTGAGCCAATTGTGCAAAATTCCAAGCTGTCCTGCGTACAGAAAAAAGCAAGACTAGCAGAGAAATTTTAGGGAATTTTTAGTAATTTCTTCATTAATTTTGAAAATTTTGACATTCTATATGCCTCCAGGTGATAATACAATGTATTTTATTGTTTAAAACTAGTACCTAAGCAATGTATGTCAGTAGGTGGCTAATATAGACCTGACAGAGGAAAGGTGAAGTTTTTTTGTAGAGGACTCTCGTAATGAATTTTGAATTATATTGTCAATATTATGTGATTTTTCTCATGCATCATCATACAAACTCTGTGAATGGATTCTTCATTTTTCTTTCAATAAAATCCATTGGTGTTAGAAGAAAATGTAGACCCTTGCACATGCATGTTTGTTCTGTTTAGTATGTGTAGATATTGATATTGTTCTTGACCTTTTAAATTCTCTTAAAAATTAGCTGTTTAAGTGAGAATTATGAGGGAAGGTGTTCTGAGCTGTAGCGGACATCTTTTGTTCAAGAGAGAGAGCTTAAGGTTGCAAAACACAGTGCCTCAATTGACCATGCATTCCTGTATAAATTTGGAGGCAGAATTTCATTATAATTCATGTTCTTACACTACCATTTACATAGTACATATATATACCTGAATAGTTAAAATTGTATGTATTATCCTTATGTTTGGCTCTCCCAGGCAATTTCTATTTACCTGTAGTCAATTTACACCCAACTGCTACATACTTTCAACCAATATAAATTGTTCTACATTTGCTATCGCTAAAATCATAAATTTTCTGTCATTTACTCTTTACGCACCTAATACACCAGGATCAGTTAATGCATGTCTGATTGCGCATCTAAGATACATGTATGTACAGTTTAGATGTATATTCAGAGCTCTCACGCCACTTTTTGTAAAGGGGCTGGTGCCTTTTTTAAAATTGGAAAAATTAGCAATGTTTTGGGGAAAATAGGAAAAATCAAAATATTAAAAAAAAACTTTAAAAAAAAAAATCACATCATATTAAAAAATTGTTTTCTAGTGTTTTATTATCAGCCTTATTATTATTGTAATGACAATTGGTAAAATAAAACCATTCAGGGAAGGGGGGGGGGGGGGGGGGGGAGGAGTAACCTATTGTAAATGTACTTGTTTTAGCGGTACTCATATATTAGCCCCTTAAACACACTTCTTCCTGTCTGCTAATTACACACACATATATATGATAAAAACAAAAGCATATAGAACCTTGGCTCCAAATGCACTAATTCACTCTAACAC